CATGGCGTTCATAATTCTTGTCTCTATAATTTAAAGTTCATGTTAATTTTTTTCCAGTATACAAAATGTATAATAAAGCAATAATTGCCGAGGCTGTGTTATAATTATTATTGAATTCGGTTATCGCATAATATCATAAATTATCAAGACCTCCGCTGTGTTATCTGCCTCAGCCTTCAGCTTCAGCAGATAACAAAGCCTCAGTATTGATAATTTACAATATCATGTGCAACCTCATCCAATAATTATTGCTTATTATATGATGATGATCTTTACAGACCTGTTCTGTATTCCATTTCCTTGTAAGCTCTATTTTTTTTGTTAAACATGTATTTGTATAGGAAATCGCACGATCTCGAGTACAATTTGGAAATTAATAGACACTCTTAATGTTTTGAAAGTTCTTGTAATTGCACTCGCCTAAAGGCTCATGCAATTACAAGAACTTTCAAAACATTAAGAGTGTCTATTAATTTCCAAATTGTACTCGAGATCGTGCGATTTCCTATACAAATACATGGCGATTTTTTGTTTATAGTTCACTCAACAAAATTTCAGTAAAAAATGCGAAGCGACACCATTCATCTTTGTCTATTTGGCGGCCGATTTTCAGTCCATCGCGCAACTGAAATGCATAAAAAATTAGTTCTTACGGCTTTAAAATTTCATTATATGTTTTTAAAGTACAAAATGATAGAAAATAATTGTTTTGACATTGTTTTGGCTGTGTTGCCATAGCGACTTAATTCGGTACTCCTACGGAGTACAATCAACGCTATAATTGTACTCCTCTCGACCAATCAGAGTCGAGTAATTTTGTTGAGTGTACTATAAAGTCAGAAATAGATATAATTTATACATGAATAAATGGCAGAGCCTGAGTTAGGAGATATTAAGCTTAAAATATGAAATAAAAATAAATCTTTTTAGTATTTTTACACACAGGTGAATATAATAATTTATATCACAATTTACGTATTATGCTGCTATACAGTCAATTCAAAAAATGTTGTCGTCGACCAGGTCAAGTCTACACGACTGGACCGAAAGGAACTCTGGGTAGCAATCATTGAAGCCGAGTTGACTCCATAATTTTATCTGACTAGTTATGCCTGGTTTACAGCACGAACCTTCGTAGG